AATAATATAATAATAAAAATATTATGATGATGGTGAAAATAATAATAATAGTAATAATAATAATAATATTATAATGAAGATCACTTCTGTAGCCCCCACTCCCTGGTGGCTCAAGGAACTTCACAATAAAATAATAAATAAACATTTCGTACAACACTGGTGCAAAGATCAACAATCCAGAAGTAAAATGCTTTTTAAGGAGGAGATGCGTGGAAAGTAAGGGACATGAGAGAGATGAAGCTCACTTGCAACCAGCTTGGAAGAATGGCCCAGGACAGAGAGAAATGGAAGGAGCTTGCACGTGGCCTACACCCCGCCAGGGGTGGAAGGCATTGATGACGATGATGAAAATGCTTTTTACTTCTTCGAAATCGGTCAATAAATTTTTTACAAGTTATGGCTGTGTGCGTGTCCGAAATTGTAGGTATTTTGGAGAAAACTCCTATGGAGGAAGGAGTAAATAAGGGCAAACGACACCAGAATATTGAAGTTTAGTTTTAGTAAGAGTTTTACGGCACTTGCAACACAATAAGGTCATATAAGTGCCGAATATTAGAGGTGTTACAAGAGAGTAACAAACACAAAAAAGAAGGAGTGGAGATAAAGACGATAGATGTTTGAAAGGAAAGAAGAAGCAAACTACATCAGAGCACCCATCAACCACCCACTATTGAAGACCAACACACACACAAAGCACCACAGCACAGGACAGACACTCAGTGGTCTCACCGTTGGCGTGGGGGGAACTAAGCTGTGATTCGGTCAACTTTTGGGCCAGGTACGGCTGGAAAATGGCTGTGATTTGCATACTCTCATATTGTGATACATACGTCTGCTTCACTTCTACATCCTCTTCTTCTTCAGCTGAAAAGACAAAAAGCAAGAGCAACAACAAAATTACACACCAGAATCAGACAGTTCTGACACTCTCTAACCACCAGCAAATAATGTGAGGCGTGCTGACAAAATGATTTACTTCTCGCGATCCACAATTGGAGACAGTGGCCAAAAATCGACCTCATGGTCAAATTGGTAGAATTTTGTGTTGATGCTCTATTTTTTAATTTAAACCTGTCCTTTATCATTTCATACTTATGTTGTTGTTGTTAGTGATCCAGTAGCATCTGAGAGTTAGCTCTTCTGCATGATGCCATTATGTAATAGCTTCATGTCTGTTCTAATAGTTGTATTTCATACTTATAAATTGTAAAAACTTCACCTTTAAGCGTGGTGTATCTATTTCCTTAAGGTTTTTATCTGAGAAGTAACTCCTTTTGTCAGCACGCTTCACAAATCAATAACAGACTGATACACAGTCATCAGTTTTCTCAATGATCTAATCTAGAGGGAGAGATAAAATTTTTTAAAAAATAAAAGAATGACAAATTCTTCCAAATCCTGAAAGTAAACAAAATAATCATGCACCCGTTGTTGGCCATCAATAGTTTATTTATAGAGGCACCAACCATTCCATGCCCAGGTGCTGTTTCCGCCTCCACCCGTTTTTTGTCTGCTCAAAGACTCTCTCATATGTCACTACCTCTGAGAAAAGCCTTCAGTTTGTCGGACTGAATGATTTAAATGGCTGTGGTATGGTGGTTTCTTTTTATATTAAGACAACTATTCTCTTGAGACCTTATTTGGTTTTCCCCTTAGAGAAAGCATAGCACACTCAAATCATACTCTCAACCACATACATAATTAATAAAAACTAGTAAGTATTTTAACAACCAGGATCATGGGTATAACCTTCCTATTTTCGTAAAATTAAAAAAAAAAAACATGTTTTTTTCTCCCAATTATTTTGATTTTCAGAGTGTTATCCGCACTGGGAAATATGAAAATGAATTTTTTTACTTTTTCTTGTTTTCTCGTCGGAGTAACAAAAAACCTTGAGCATCCCTCAAAGAGGGAAAGGTTTGGGCTACAGATCTATTTACTTTTTCCAGTCCTGCTTATACATGTAATCTATTAAAGGTAACAGAAAAAGAAATCATTTTACATAAACACATTGGTCAACATTTTTCGAAGGCACTTACAATGGATCCCCATATTAACATATAAAGTTGTTTTTTTTGTCTTTAACCCATTAAAATCCCATCAGAAAGTAATATCCCTCAAAAGAATGTCAAAATTCTCCCCAGACTCAGAACAACCATCACTTACTTGGAGGTTTAACAAGCATACGACAGTGGAAATTGCACCCGCGGGTGGTTGGAGAATCGCTTGGCCATGCTAGACCACTCGCTGTGAAGGAAGACAGAACTGAATTAATGCAGAGAAGAGCACACAATGTATCAGTTAGTTTTAGTTTTAGTTTTGGTGAGGTTTTTACGGCGCTCGCAACTGCATAAGGTCATATGAGCGCCAAGGAGTGGATGTCAACAGAAGTCCAAACAAGAAATCGGGCTTATTCTGCTCACCTCTCTAGCCTCAACAGCACAAAGGCTGCTTTGACCATTAAGGCACCCAGAAATTGCAGTTCACAAGAGAGTGACAAACACAAAAGAAGTAGAGGGAAAAATGACAATAGTAAGGATGAGGAAAGAAATAGCTGCAGTTGTTCCGGCACAGTATGAGCATGACATTGATAAATTAGCCCATTTACAATCGTACTGTGCATAAGAACATGTTAATATCCCCCTTTTGGGAATTTCCTAAAGACACTTCAGTCAGTAGCACTGCCCTGAAGGGGGGAAAATGTATCAGGATAATGTATCAGTATCGTGCAGGTGAGAAAATGTTGATGAGCGCAAGTAGTATTCAGCACTATGATGACTGTACTCTGTAACTATGTCCATGCCATAGAGTTTTCCACATTTGTTTCTTGCTAGTAAGCATGTTGTATGCTGAATGTGGCTTTGGGAGAGCTTAGTTCTAGGAAATTATATTTTATCCAGCCAAGAAATTGAAACTGAAGCTTATTTCAAATAAAAATATTCAACAACAAGATTAAAATCTTTAATACTTCACCATAATAGTTTCATAAACATAGAGAAGAAGAAAGGGAACAATCAACAGAATATAAGAATAAGAGTCAAAAGGATTGGCCTGGAAAGAGTTAATTTTATCAAACTAAAAAGAGGGGGGAAATTTACATTTTATTGTATGTTTTTCTGCTTCCATAGACAATTCATTTAATCCTATCCGTACGTCGTGTTTAACTATCATATCCATATGACGTGAGGAACTCTGTGCCACCACTTCCAGAAATTCACTCGTTAATCCGATCCGTATGCTGTGCATAGCAGTCTGTCAAAATGATTTTTTTGAGAAATACTGAAAGTTTTAAAGAGATCTTCGTACCTGAAGTATTCTAAAATGTGAAAAATACAACTCCGGGGGTACAAAATGACCCCAGGAAATACGGATAGGGTTAAGGGGTGAGCTTCGCCCTGCCCGTAAGGGCCAACTCAGGCTGAGAGGGATACAACATAAATCATCTTTTTGATGGGGGTGTAAACCATAAATAAAGTACTAAAGCTATCCATTACCAAATAAACAATAAAAATGGCCTGGGAAATCTGCACAAATGTCATGCATCATCAAATTTGATCTCAGGAAAGAGCTCCTGTCCAGGATTTGCGTCAAATCAAAAGACAACTGAGATCTGACCACCATGGTATAGTGCCCAGCTTGACCACACAACTGAGATCTGACCACTGTAGTGTAGTGACCAGTGCTGTTGGGGTGGGTAAGGAGGGGTGACCAGGACTTACTCAATGTCATAGGCAGAAGACTGTTGCTGAATTGTGGGTGGTCTCCAACATGGATGAAATTGTAAATGCTTTCTCCTATCAAGTCCTCCTGTGGGGGAGAAGAAGAGATTATAATACAGACATGGGACAAAAGTATAGACGGAGATGGTTTTAGTTTTAGTAAGTGTTTTCGTTTTCAGTAAAGAGTTTTATGGCACTTGCAAAACAATAAGGTCATATAAGTGCCGAAGATTAGAGGTGTTACAAGGGAGTAACAAACACAAAAAAGAAGGAGTGGAGATAAAGACGATAGATGTATGATAGGAAAGAGGGAGCAAACCACACCAGAGCACCCAACAACCACCCACAGCAAAAAGTATGTTTGACTGATTGAAACATCTCATCAGCATAATTTGAAAAATTAAAGGGTTTTTTTTAGTAAGTGTTTTATGGTACTTGCAACACAATAAGGGTCATTATAAGTGCCGAAGAATAGAGGTGTTACAAGAGAGAAACAAACATAAAAAATGCAGAATTCTTTGATTTCATAATTTTGCCGATAGCCTGATTTTACCACAATGACTCACATAGTTGCATCTCCACAAGAACTGAGAGCCCGAACCCCCCCTCCCCCCCCACCACATACCTGAGTGAGGCGACATGAGTGGGGACACTGGCGTCTTCCTCTGAAAGCCCATAGTGAACTGGCCGCCCTGGTTGCGGTTCTGCTGCAGGGCCGTCCCGCCAGCTCCCATACCCATCCCGGGGCTCCGCTGGCCAGGGTAAGTTCCCATCATGCCGCGCTGGTTAAATCCGGCGCTGCGGGGGCCCCCTCCCGGACTGGGGGCGAAGCCGGGGCTCTTCTGCGTGCCGTCAAACGAAGTCATGGAGTTGCTTTTGGGCACCATGTTGAGCATGGGCAGTCGCTTCATGCCCCCGCCCTGGAGGACCTGGGGCCCCGCCTGCAGCGCGCACTGCAGCGGGCTGGGGGCGCCTGTCGAGGTGGGAGACTTGAGGGACTGCATCGAGCCCCAGCTGTTCTGGTTCGGACCTACGGTGGAGCCAGTGAGAACCGGTTTCACATCTGCCGGCTCATCTGAGGATACAAAAACGTGTGTTGTTGTTGTTGTTGGTCAGTGTGTGATCATGTGACATTCACACATAAAACACACACACACAAACACACAGACACAGACACATGTACACACACACACACACGAAAACAAACACAAAACCCACACACAGACAAAACACACGCGCGCGCACACACATAAAAAACACACAACACACATAAAACAGCCCCCAAACACACACACACACACACACAGACCCCCCCCACCACCATCACCACCACACAACTCACTGTTGAGTCCGTTTAAAAAATCCAGGTCAGCAAACATCTCGAGGTCGGAGTCGATGGAGCCCAGACCAGGACCGCCCGTGGGAGTCAGGCCGCTCATGGCCCCGGCCGACGGCGACGGCATGGACAGCATCGGGGCCAGGCTGGTGGAGAACGGGCCCAGAGAGAGGGGCGAGGGCCGGCTGCCGATCACAGACTTCATCAGACTGGTCGAGGCGGAGCCTTTGAGCTCCACGTCCGAGTCGCAGTCTCTGTGTAAAGGGAAACAGGAGATGATAAAGCGATCAGTTCAAAATAGTTAAAAAACTTTTCTCATAACAGAAATAGCGCTCAAAATCAATATGCTCTGGAGATAAAATTCAAATGCATGCATCATTTTATATCTTGTTTTTGTAGTTTTAGTAGAGGTTTTACGGCACTTGCAACACAATAAGGTCGCATAAGTGCAGAAGATTAGAGGTGTTACAAGAGAGTAACAAACATAAAAAAGAAGGAGGGGAGATAAAAACGATAGATGTTTCAAAGGAAAGAAGAAGCAAACTACATCAGAGCACCCATCAACCACGCGATTAGTTCAAAGTAGTTAAAAACGTTTCTCGCAACAGAAATACCGTTCAAAATTACCCTAAAGCGTACTTAGTAAGAGTTTTACAGCACTTGCAACACAATTAGGTCTTAAAAGTGCCCAATATTAGAAGTGTTGCAAGAGAGTAACAAACAAAAACAAAAAAAGGGAGGAGAGATAATGACCATTGATATTTGATAGGTACGACGGAGCACATCAGACTAGAGCACCTGCCAACCACCCACAGTCTTTCTCTTCCTGAGAAGCAAGGTATCAATAATTTTTAAAAATTTCTTTTAACTCTTTATCTCCGGCAAGCCGCAGCGGCTCGGGCACATTCCTTTATCATGACTTCGACATCAAAATACTTTTCAGCAATTGCCGAGAACAGGTCTTATACACCAGAAGTTCATTCTTTTGATGAAGAACTATTAAAATAGGTTTGCTAGTTTTGCTTTAATGACCCATTTGATGACGTTTTTGTCATTTTTAGATTAAGCATTAAAAAAACAGCCCCGGAGTAGTGGGTTTACCATTACACCCCCCTCCCCCCTCCTCTCTCGGAGATAAAGAGTTAAGATTAATAGAAGTAGACAGAGCAGACCACATCAGGTAGTCAACAAGGAAGCCATCCGTCGGCAGCGGCGGCCACTCACCGTATGATGGTATGGGTGGACATGATAAACTCGGGCTTGCCCGTGACATGGTTGTTCATCAGTTTACTCTTGGTCTGCACAAAGACGTAGCGGTTCTCCTGCAGCTTGAAGCGGTACACGCCGCTAGTGTTGCACCCATTCTTCAGGACTGGATGTCCCCAACAGCAAAACATACACACAGCCAGGGTGGAGAAGAGGGGGGGGGGGGGGGGGGCAAGGAGAAGGGGAAGGTGGAGGGTGGGGGTTGGGGGGGTGGATGGAGGGAAAGAAGAAAGCACCATAGTATGAACACACATCACGTTCTGCTCGACTCACACTCTTACGTTGACCAACAATCTTACATCTTGCTGATGGTGAATTTTTTTTAGCGCAACAAAGAGCAACATCCAAAAATTCCAAATTGTTTGCAATATAAACATTTACGCCAATTATGAATGACAGCACACGATATACTTCTTAGATGTTCAGGACAATGGTTTGCCAATGAGAGTTAAGACCACGACAGAACTAAGGGACGACACATCTCGGTACTTCCCCTTTAACACATTCATATCTCACCCTCACCCAGTGGCAACTTGTGAATGTCTCCGTGACAGTAACAAATAACCCTTCTTTACCAACACAAAAAGAATTCTCTTTCCCTCTTGTTTTTCTACCGGTATGTGGCTCATCTGGCAAGCTTCTGCAACCATTACAAAGGGCAGGGTGACTGAATATTTTCCTGACGGTTAATTCTATGTCATTACAAGTAGTCTGCAAATAAAGCAAGATGATTATTCATGACAAATAACAAATAAAACATCAGCATGACATAGGTCACGTTTTGCAAATAAACATGACATTCACATAATCATACAAAAAAGATTTAAATCATTAAGTGCCAAATTTTACCTTTTAACAAAATTGAAAGCTGCAGGAAGAAGAAAGAATTTAAAATTAAACAAATATGTTTTACACGTGTGCACAAAAACGCCCGCACGCACAGACACAGACACACACACAGCAAACACACACCTTCCTGAGAGTGTTTTTTGACCAGATGTACGTCATTGGCGTGGCAGAAATCTCTCATGTACGCCCCTTCAAGCTCCACAATGCCATGGCTGTTGGAAATTGCTCTGAAACACAACACAAACACATAAACATCAGGGGTTTTGGTCAGATAGTTTGATAAAATGCAGGCTTGTCAATTTTTTCAGAACTCAGCCTGAGACACCCAACATAATAATATCAGTTAGTTTTTAGTTTTATTAGAGGTTTTACGGCGCTCGCAACAGCATAAGGTCATATGAGCGCCAGAAGATTCAAGGTGTTACATGAGAGTTACAAACATAAAAAAGAAGGAGGGGAGATTAGGACAATAGATGTTTGATAGGAAAGAAGAAGCAAACCACACCAGAGCACCCTCCAACCACCCACGCCTGACAGTCAGCAAGCATGTAAAAAGCATTCAGGATAATAATAAATAGCATTAATTTGTATAGCGCGCACCCCTGCACAATAGCAAGCTCTACACGCTTTACACTATATCATTACCCCAGCAGACCATAGAACACTCCGAAACATTCTCAGCTTCCCAAAAAGCATACAGTGCAAGCAGATGATTAAGCGCTCAGACCCTAACAAACTGACAAGATCTTTCGCTGTCTAAAGCTGGGTACCCATTCCTACCTGGGTGAACTGAAGAAAACTCGTGTAAAGCGCCTTTCTCAAGGACACAACATAGGGCCCCTGATGGAATTCGAACCCATGACCTTACAGTTGGGAGTCCTAGAGCCTAACCACTAGGCCACTGACGACACATTCATCCACCAATACGTCATAGCCATGAAATCTTTAAACATGGTTGTTTGTTTTGTTTTTTCCCTCATTCCCAAACAACTTGTTATATTCAATGTCATCCAATACTAGACAAACACACCACTGATATCAATCAGCTTTATACGAGTATTATTACAATTCTCTAATATTTTCTTTTCAAAATGTTGGAGTTTTTAGACCCACAACAATACAGCTTAATAAAAATCATTCAGAAGACAGGCCACTGCCCCATAGCTGAAACTTGACACTAACTGAGCTAAATAATGGCACACCCATACAGACCTGCTCTCCGCACTGACGATCTTCCCATCCAGGTCTTGTTTAGAAGAAAATTGGTCAATCCCTCCTATCATCATATTGGTCTTCTCTGTCATAGGGAGACAGCTCGCAATGCACACCAGACACGTCTGGTTCTCTGGAGATAATAATAATAATAATAATAATAATAATAATAATAATAATGATGATGATGATGATGATGATGATGATGATGACAATGGTGATAATAATAATAATAATGATAATAATAATACTATAATAATGATAATAATAATAATATAATAATAAAAATATTATGATGATGGTGAAAATAATAATAATAGTAATAATAATAATAATATTATAATGAAGATCACTTCTGTAGCCCCCACTCCCTGGTGGCTCAAGGAACTTCACAATAAAATAATAAATAAACATTTCGTACAACACTGGTGCAAAGATCAACAATCCAGAAGTAAAATGCTTTTTAAGGAGGAGATGCGTGGAAAGTAAGGGACATGAGAGAGATGAAGCTCACTTGCAACCAGCTTGGAAGAATGGCCCAGGACAGAGAGAAATGGAAGGAGCTTGCACGTGGCCTACACCCCGCCAGGGGTGGAAGGCATTGATGACGATGATGAAAATGCTTTTTACTTCTTCGAAATCGGTCAATAAATTTTTTACAAGTTATGGCTGTGTGCGTGTCCGAAATTGTAGGTATTTTGGAGAAAACTCCTATGGAGGAAGGAGTAAATAAGGGCAAACGACACCAGAATATTGAAGTTTAGTTTTAGTAAGTGTTTTACGGCACTTGCAACACAATAAGGTCATATAAGTGCTGAATATCTAAGGTGTTACAAGAGAGTAACAAACACAAAAGAGAAGGAGGGGAGATAAAGACGATAGACGTTTGATAGGAAAGAAGAAGCAAACCACACCACAGCACCCGCCAACCACCCACTATTGAAGACCAACACAAATCACAAAGCACCACAGCACAGGACAGACACTCAGTGGTCTCACCGTTGGCGTGGGGGGAACTAAGCTGTGATTCGGTCAACTTTTGGGCCAGGTACGGCTGGAAAATGGCTGTGATTTGCATACTCTCATATTGTGATACATACGTCTGCTTCACTTCTACATCCTCTTCTTCTTCAGCTGAAAAGACAAAAAGCAAGAGCAACAACAAAATTACACACCAGAATCAGACAGTTCTGACACTCTCTAACCACCAGCAAATAATGTGAGGCGTGCTGACAAAATGATTTACTTCTCGCGATCCACAATTGGAGACAGTGGCCAAAAATCGACCTCATGGTCAAATTGGTAGAATTTTGTGTTGATGCCCTATTCTTTAACTAAAACCTGTCCTTTATCATTTCATACTTATGTTGTTGTTGTTAGTGATCCAGTAGCATCTGAGAGTTAGCTCTTCTGCATGATGCCATTATGTAATAGCTTCATGTCTGTTCTAATAGTTGTATTTCATACTTATAAATTGTAAAAACTTCACCTTTAAGCGTGGTGTATCTATTTCCTTAAGGTTTTTATCTGAGAAGTAACTCCTTTTGTCAGCACGCTTCACAAATCAATAACAGACTGATACACAGTCATCAGTTTTCTCAATGATCTAATCTAGAGGGAGAGATAAAATTTTTTAAAAAATAAAAGAATGACAAATTCTTCCAAATCCTGAAAGTAAACAAAATAATCATGCACCCGTTGTTGGCCATCAATAGTTTATTTATAGAGGCACCAACCATTCCATGCCCAGGTGCTGTTTCCGCCTCCACCCGTTTTTTGTCTGCTCAAAGACTCTCTCATATGTCACTACCTCTGAGAAAAGCCTTCAGTTTGTCGGACTGAATGATTTAAATGGCTGTGGTATGGTGGTTTCTTTTTATATTAAGACAACTATTCTCTTGAGACCTTATTTGGTTTTCCCCTTAGAGAAAGCATAGCACACTCAAATCATACTCTCAACCACATACATAATTAATAAAAACTAGTAAGTATTTTAACAACCAGGATCATGGGTATAACCTTCCTATTTTCGTAAAATTAAAAAAAAAAAACATGTTTTTTTCTCCCAATTATTTTGATTTTCAGAGTGTTATCCGCACTGGGAAATATGAAAATGAATTTTTTTACTTTTTCTTGTTTTCTCGTCGGAGTAACAAAAAACCTTGAGCATCCCTCAAAGAGGGAAAGGTTTGGGCTACAGATCTATTTACTTTTTCCAGTCCTGCTTATACATGTAATCTATTAAAGGTAACAGAAAAAGAAATCATTTTACATAAACACATTGGTCAACATTTTTCGAAGGCACTTACAATGGATCCCCATATTAACATATAAAGTTGTTTTTTTTGTCTTTAACCCATTAAAATCCCATCAGAAAGTAATATCCCTCAAAAGAATGTCAAAATTCTCCCCAGACTCAGAACAACCATCACTTACTTGGAGGTTTAACAAGCATACGACAGTGGAAATTGCACCCGCGGGTGGTTGGAGAATCGCTTGGCCATGCTAGACCACTCGCTGTGAAGGAAGACAGAACTGAATTAATGCAGAGAAGAGCACACAATGTATCAGTTAGTTTTAGTTTTAGTTTTGGTGAGGTTTTTACGGCGTTCGTAACTGCATAAGGTCATATGAGCGCCAAGGGGTGGATGTCAACAGAAGTCCAAACAAGAAATCAGGCTTATTCTGCTCACCTCTCTAGCCTCAACAGCACAAAGGCTGCTTTGACCATTAAGGCACCCAGAAATTGCAGTTCACAAGAGAGTGACAAACACAAAAGAAGTAGAGGGAAAAATGATGATAGTAAGGATGAGGAAAGAAATAGCTGCAGTTGTTCCGGCACAGTATGAGCATGACATTGATAAATTAGCCCATTTACAATCGTACTGTGCATAAGAACATGTTAATATCCCCCTTTTGGGAATTTCCTAAAGACACTTCAGTCAGTAGCACTGCCCTGAAGGGGGGAAAATGTATCAGGATAATGTATCAGTATCGTGCAGGTGAGAAAATGTTGATGAGCGCAAGTAGTATTCAGCACTATGATGACTGTACTCTGTAACTATGTCCATGCCATAGAGTTTTCCACATTTGTTTCTTGCTAGTAAGCATGTTGTATGCTGAATGTGGCTTTGGGAGAGCTTAGTTCTAGGAAATTATATTTTATCCAGCCAAGAAATTGAAACTGAAGCTTATTTCAAATAAAAATATTCAACAACAAGATTAAAATCTTTAATACTTCACCATAATAGTTTCATAAACATAGAGAAGAAGAAAGGGAACAATCAACAGAATATAAGAATAAGAGTCAAAAGGATTGGCCTGGAAAGAGTTAATTTTATCAAACTAAAAAGAGGGGGGAAATTTACATTTTATTGTATGTTTTTCTGCTTCCATAGACAATTCATTTAATCCTATCCGTACGTCGTGTTTAACTATCATATCCATATGACGTGAGGAACTCTGTGCCACCACTTCCAGAAATTCACTCGTTAATCCGATCCGTATGCTGTGCATAGCAGTCTGTCAAAATGATTTTTTTGAGAAATACTGAAAGTTTTAAAGAGATCTTCGTACCTGAAGTATTCTAAAATGTGAAAAATACAACTCCGGGGGTACAAAATGACCCCAGGAAATACGGATAGGGTTAAGGGGTGAGCTTCGCCCTGCCCGTAAGGGCCAACTCAGGCTGAGAGGGATACAACATAAATCATCTTTTTGATGGGGGTGTAAACCATAAATAAAGTACTAAAGCTATCCATTACCAAATAAACAATAAAAATGGCCTGGGAAATCTGCACAAATGTCATGCATCATCAAATTTGATCTCAGGAAAGAGCTCCTGTCCAGGATTTGCGTCAAATCAAAAGACAACTGAGATCTGACCACCATGGTATAGTGCCCAGCTTGACCACACAACTGAGATCTGACCACTGTAGTGTAGTGACCAGTGCTGTTGGGGTGGGTAAGGAGGGGTGACCAGGACTTACTCAATGTCATAGGCAGAAGACTGTTGCTGAATTGTGGGTGGTCTCCAACATGGATGAAATTGTAAATGCTTTCTCCTATCAAGTCCTCCTGTGGGGGAGAAGAAGAGATTATAATACAGACATGGGACAAAAGTATAGACGGAGATGGTTTTAGTTTTAGTAAGGCTTTTCGATTTCAGTAAAGAGTTTTATGGCACTTGCAACACAATAAGGTCAAATAAGTGCCAAAGATTAGAAGTGTGACAAGAGAGTAACAAACACAATAAAGGAGGAAAGATCAGGACGATAGATGTTTGATAGGAAAGAAGGAGCAAATCATACCTGAGCACCCACCAACCACCCGCTAGTTAGGATTTATGGCGCTCGCAACTGCAGAAGGTCATATGAGCGCCATAGACAGACGGAGATATCTAGGACATGTTCTAAGAATGCCGAAGACAAGAGTGACCTATCAGACATGGTATTGGAAACCACCTGGAAAAAGAAAACAAAGATGACCAACTGGAACCTTTAGAGGCACAGAAAGGGATGGGGCAATCACCCAGGGCCTGGATTTGCCGAAATTAGAGGACGTGGCCAGGGACAAGCAAGCGTGGCGTCAACTGCTCTCCGCCTTATGTACCTGACGGTAGAGGGAGAGAGTCAGTAACAGACAAAAGTATGACCCCGACAACACAATTTAGCCTTTTTGATCATATGGGAGGAGGGCCAACCCCTGCAGAGAGGACGACAATTTATTAGTAGGTAATAAATAGTTTTACGGCACTTGCAACACAATAAAGTCACATATACGTGTCGAAGATTAGGTGTTACAAGAGAATAACCAGCGCAAAAAAGAAGGTGGAGAGAGATATGGACAATAGATGTTGAAAGCAAAGAAGGAGCAAACCACAACAGAGCACCCTCCTATCACCCACATCAAGGAAGACAATGCCCCAGCAGACAGATGAAGATACTCAGTTTTTAAAGAATTAAGTAAAAACTGCCCTCCAAATGTAATTTAATTTTTTTTTGGAAAACCAACAACAATATTAAAACAAAATTTTTGATAATTGTATTCAACCCTGTGCCTGCAACAAGCCTACCACGGCAAAGGGTTGAGCCACTGTAGCACAGGCGCCCGCGTGGTCTGTCAGCAGGAGATAGGAAGAATAAAAACCTACAAAGGGCCAGGTCATGTCGCGCTGATCATGGAACCCAATCCAGCTGTTAACTCAGGTATCCCTCCCCATCATCTCAACAACACCTGGTATCAGGTGACACAATGTGTGTATGTATGTACCTGGCCCTGCCTAACTTACAGGATCAATTCTGGAGGGGACTGACTACAAAGACAGGAAAATGACTACGCCCATTAGAAACACCTGCCCACAAACACACTTTCCTTCTCATACTATACACAGGAACAAAACAGAGAGAACGATAAGAGGCAGAAAGATGTGTAGGAGGGAGGGAAAGAGAGACAAGCAGAATAAAGCAAAAGAGAAACAGAGAAATGGTGAAGATACACAGAGAGAGGGGGAGAGAGAGAGAGAGAGAGAGAGAGAGAGAGAGAGAGAGAGAGAGAGAGAGAGAGAGAGAGAGAGAGAGAGAGAGAGAGAGAGAGAAAGAAAGAGAGAGAGAGAGAGAGAGAGAGAGAGAGAGAGAGAGAGAGAGAGAGAGAGAGAGAGAGAGAGAGAAAGAGAGAGAGAGAGAGAGAGTGAGAGAGAGAGAGAGAGAGAGAGAGAGAGAAGGCATAGACAGACAGACAGACACAATAAAGCAAAGGAAAAATTGAGAAACAAAGAGAAAAAAAGGAAAGAATAAAAAAGAACCCGTGGCTTTTAAGTTGATTCAAAGTTAACATGTATTAAGCAAGCGTGAATCCCTGAAAAGAAACTAGATCTTGACAATGACATCCGTCTCTCTACTGATCATGTATGTTCTATGATATAAGAGAGTGACTTTTAGGCGAGGGTGGAAAAGGGTGCTATTTGCAATACATACATCTAGTTGGACGTGGAACCTTTCAACTCTGTGACATCATACCATTTCCCCTTAAGGCTGCTCAATGGCAGCTTGCTTTCATTTAACAGTTTAAAATAACGCAAGGAATAAAGAAGGACAATCAGCAAAACTTTTCTTTTCTTTTCTTTTTTACTTTTAGATTTCGTAAAAGTTTTACTTTTACCCCACCTACAACATAAATACGTCATACATGTGCTAAAAACTGGAGGTTTTACAAGAGAGTTGCATACACAGAAAAGAAGGATAAGAAATACAGACAATACATGTAGGATTGGAAAGAATGAGCAAACAATACCAGGGCACCCACCAACCACCCACAATCAATGAAACAACAGTCGGCTAAGAAAAGAAGTAAGAGCTGCGTGCGACACCCTCTAATCATCCGCTGACAAACGACAGCGCAGCGACGGCACACACACAAACCCACCTATTACACAAGCGGGGGGCCCACTTACCTGAGAGTATTTTAAGAACTGTGTGACATTCTCGGAGATAAATTCAATTTTCCCTTGACTGTTTACCACAAACAAGAATCTGTTCAGGGCCTGTGGAGAAAAAGAGAGGGAGAGAAAAAAAACACCTAAATTAGGCCAATGCACACCTGGAATGTTTCTTTCTTTGGTTTTTTAGTAAGTGTTTTACGGCACTTGTAACACAATAAGGTCGTATAAGTGCCAAAGGTTAGAGGTGTTACAAGAGAGTAACAAACACAAAAAAAGAAGGAGGGGAGATAGAGATGATAGCATTATTATAAAAAAAGAAGGAGCAAACCACACCAGAGCACCTGCCAACCACCCAGTTTGTTTGTTTGAGTAGAGAGAAGCACATATTGACACAAAATGGTCATTTAGTGTTGGGAAAAAGTAATCAGACAGACAGAAGCAACAGAGGGAAAGTAAAGAAGTAGTGACGTAGGATCTACCAGTGGCGCCCTCCACCACCTGCACAACTAGAACCTACATTTTATAATATTATA